ATATATATATATATATATATATATATATATGCATGCCTTGCCACTATTTTGAAACAATTTATTTTTTTTACATTTTCTCAGGTAATTATTCTCCAGCTGGCCTCATTACTGATATACTCCGGGTCCTTTGTGATGGAAAGGAATGTGCAACTGAATGTCTATATACAAATACAGTAATAGAAGAACTTCTTCAACCACTACATTACTTACTAAAAGGAACAGAGGTATCTTTCATTTTTATGCAATTTCCTGTGGGGGGGGGAATGAGGAAACCCCACAATGGCAGTATTCCATCTAGAGTCTAATCAAAGTCATGGCTCTGATATAACTGACTATATCTGAGATATTGAAGTGAAAGAGAATACATATTTTATTTGGTTTGGAAAACACAAAAAACATGAATCTTGGTTCAGATTTGTGGGAGCTTCACTTAGAAGTGTTCAATTCACATCTAATTGCTATCTTTATCCAGAAAAGGATGAACAAGCTGGTTTCAAAGCTTTAGAGTATAATCTTGTTATTTCTATTTAAAAATAAGATCTGTTGAATTCTATGGGCCTTTTGCACCATGCAATATAGAATTGCAATGTGAAATTGACTTTATGCATCAGGTTACTTGCTTATAACTGCGCATTAGTGCTAACAAGCCATCTGGGTGGTACTTAAGGTGTTTGTTTGTTTTTTCTTCATAATTGCTGTAATTTTAAATGGGAATTGTGTTATTTTTGCTTGTAAGTGAGCACTTGTGATGACTGAAGCCAAGCAAAATTCTCAATAGTTTGGCAAGCACAGTGAAATGAAACATAATGGATTGGAACTGAATCTGCTCTTCGGCTAAGAGAAGGACGTATTCCCAGAACTTGTTTGCATCCCAGATCAATGTGGAGTGGTATAGCTGTCAGTTGGTTTGGTTTGGTTTATCTTTACCATGCAATGTGCAGTACCACTCTACTAAAAAAACTCTGTAGCCTTCTGTTGAGGGCGGGGGGGGTTAGAGGAGAATTAGCCCAAATAGTCTTCACTTTTCTCTGCCGATGTGTACGTTCAGTTTTTAGAAACTTCTGCCTGTGAGCTGACTGACCACAGTCAGAACAGTTTAACATTTAGCTTAAATCTGAAGACTTGAAGGGATTCAGCCATTTTAAAAGGGTTTTCAGAAAGATAATCATAATTTTACTTAGTTTGTTTTATAACAGTTCATATTATCATCCCAAATCTATCCTAAAATCATTTTGTAGATATAATAAGAAAGAAGTACATTATATATTTATTATTTTCTAAAAGTCTACATATTTCATTATTGTATTTTATTGTCTAACCATTGAGAGAATAGATCCTATATTTTATAAAATTGTTTATCCTCTTGTTCTCTAATTTCAAATGTCAATCTACTCATTTCAGCACATTCCAATATTTTCTTAATGATTTCCTCCTGTGATGGTGTTTTCTCATTTTTCCAATTTTTGGCAAATACAATCCTAGCTGCTGTTAATACATTTACAATCAGATATTTCAAGTGTTTACTATATATTTCAGGTAATATTCCCAATAAAAATATCTCTGGTTTCAATTCTGTATGTGTTTTTGTCATTTTTTCCAACTACATGTGGATTTTAGTCCAATATTTTTTAGCATCCGCACAAGTCCACCACATATGGTAATATGAGCCAGGTGTCTGATGACATTTCCAACATTTTTTGGATTTATTCTTGAACATTCTTGCTATTCTTGTCGGGGGGAAAATGCCACCTGTAAAACATCTTATACAAATTTTCTTTATATGCTGTTGACATTGTCATTTTATAATTTTGAGACCACAATTTTTGCCATTTCTCTAAATCAATCCCATATCCAAAATTCTTCCCCCAAGCAATCATAGTTTCTTTAACTTGTTCTTCTTAATTTCTAATAAATATCCATACAATTTTTTAATCACCTTTTCATCAGTACCTGTCAAAATCTTATCTAAATCAGTCAATTTATCATAGAAACCTTCCATTTTAGAATCTTTATCATACCTTGAATGTATTTGCGCATATGAAAACCAATTCATCTTTATACCTTGTTCCTCTAGTTTTTGTATAGATTTGAGTTCACCCTTTTCATTCAATATTTCACTACATCTAACTGTTCCTTTTTGTTATATTATAGGATAAGAAAATGCTTCAATAGTCGATAGCCAGACTGGAATTTTCAAATAACATTGTCTTTTAATCTTCTCCCAGTTTAACCACAAAGACTCCCGTATATAACGTCTTCTAAAATACCCCTGTGTTTTAGTTCCTTTATACCATAAAAGAGCATGCCACCCCAACAACAAATCATGTCCTTCTAATGTCAACAATCTAGTATTTCTTAGTGTTATCCATTCCTTAACCCACATCAGATTTGTAGCTTGGTAGTACAACTCCCAATTAGGCAAACCAAATCCTCCTCTAATTCTAGCATCTTGCAAAAGTTTTAACTTTATTTTCGCTTTCTTACCTTGCCATATATATTTCAACACAATTTTATTTAAATCTTCAAAGTAATCTTTTCCAAGCCTAATTGGAATTGTTTGAAATAAATATAAAATTCTGGGTAATATATTCATCTTGATTGTTGAAATTCTCCCTATTAGTGACAGTTGTAAATTTTCCCATTTCACCAGATCTAGCGCTATCTGCTGTTTAAGTTTGATATAATTATTCCCTTTTAATGTACTACATCTTGCTATCAAATATATCCCCAAGTACTTGATCTTATTCGTGACCTGAATTTTCAATAGGTCTGCCACTTCTTCCTTTTGTCTTAATAGCATATTCTTTGTCAAGATCTTTATCTTTATTTATTTTCAAACCAGCCACCTTTCCATATGTCTCTATCTTTTCTATCAATTTTGATGTTGTTTCTAGAGGGTCTTCTAAGATGAAAACCAGATCATCTGCAAATGCTTGCAGCTTAAATTCTTCCTTTTTGATTTTCATTCCTTTTATATTCTTTTCATCTCTAATATTTCTGTTTAGCACTTCCAAAGTTAACACAAACAACAAAGGTGATAGTGGGCACCCTTGTCTTGTTCCTTTTCTTATATTGATAGAGTCTGTCAGTTCTCCCTCTATCATTACCTTTGCCATTTGCTTATGATATATAGCTTCTATTGCTTGAATAAATTTTCTAGCAAAACCCATCTGTTCCAACAGTAATAACATGAATCGCCAATTCACATTATCAAATGCCTTCTGTGCATCTAGAAATATCAGAGCCATTTGTTTTTCAGGATGTGCCTCGTAGTATTCCAAGGTGTCCAAGATTACTCTCATATTATCTTTAATTTGTCTCTTTGGCAGAAATCCATTTTGATCAGGATGAATAAAATTATTTAGATATTTTTTAAGTCTTTCTGCTTGATTAATAATGATACTAAGGTATTTAATTTTTGATTGAAAATACGAGATTATATGCAATGTAATTGTAATTGAAGACTATGAAATGGAAGCACTAAAAAATTTGTAAACCAACCGGCACACTGTATGTATACATATGGAAGATGGCTTGATGTTTTTATGTTTTGTTTGTTTATGTTTGTTTTTAAAAACCAATAAAAACTTTAAAAAGAAAAGAAAAGATAAAAATATAAATAAATAAATAAATAAAAATAAAGATAAAAAAATGAAAATAAATAAAAAATACAAAAAAAATAAAAAAAGAAAAGAAAAAAAGGGTTTTCAGAAATGATGAAATTAATCTAAACGGAAGGATTTCATTGAGGAAATTAAAAAGAAAGGAGAAACCTATAGCTTCATTGACAAAACTGGTTTATAGTCAAGGTAAAAAAAAAGTTCTTGAAAGCAATTTATGTTGTTGTATTAATTTGCTATTGGCTATGCTTACGGTTTATCTTCAGACATTTTTAAATATACACACAGGTGAATTTGAATTGTCCAGAAACAACTCTAACACATATAGCTGATATTTTGGCGCGAATTGCTGCTGCAGACGATGGTCTTTCACTACTTCTTTATGGAGGAGAGAAGTCTCCTGCCACAGAAAGCACAAGGTATGACAACATCCTTAAAGACTGAAAGCAGTTCTCTAGCAATCTCACTAATAAACTGTTTTTCTTTATGGCAAATACCATGGTTGAGTTTATAGTATGATTTCTTTGTATCGTACGAAATTTATGAACTGGTAGAATCAGGGGCACGTTCCATCTTCAAAGCACTTTGTCTAGGAGTCTCTTGAAAAGTCTTCAGGCAGTTGTCAAGTTTCTTCATGGATTAATGTGTAATTGTGTTCAGAGGCAACCATGAATGAGTTATATCAGGTGAAGGATGAACATGCAATTGCTAAAATGTATAAACTTCCACTAAATTTTGAAACAGAAGAACAAGTGCAAGAATATATGGTAAAGTAGGCTAAATTTTTGGTTGCAACATACAGATGTGATAATGGGAAAAATATGATTATCATAATATATTGACTATATAGTTAAGTAATTTGGATTTGTAAGCTTGGGGGATTAAGATAAGGGATTTCCTTCATTCATTTTGTTGAAGTATGTTTTTGTTTTTGTTTTTTGTTATGAAAAGATTCCAATAGGAGTGGAAAACCTTTCTATAGTTGGAAATACACTTAGTACATCAGTTTATCATAACAATGATGCAATCTTATTTGGCTGATTTGATGATCTTGGGATCTCTAGGGAGGGACAAAAAGGCTGGAAGGTTGCACTCCCTGTCTTTTCTATAGACACTGCATCAAATTCATGTATCCATATTATGTCAGCTAATTGATCACTGCTTTTTAAAATTGTTGTCTTGTCTCTAGCCTCAAGGGTGCACATATTATTGCCCAGTTTACAAAGAAGCTTCTTGATGAAGATATTTCTGTTTTGTCTGGGTCTGAGATGTTACCAGTCCTCAAAGGAGCTTTTATCTTTGTATGCCGCCAAATGTATAGTACCTGCGAAGGCTTAGAGGTGCTGCTGCCTTATCAGTTACATAAATCTATTGCTGAAGCTTGGAAAAAGGTAGCTTTATGCTTGTTCTTATAGAGAAGTTCTACCATGGGTGCATATATTCCAAAATGTCCCTCTTCACATAAACACATTGCAGTATAGACTTTAGAGACAGTTTGGTGTAGTAGTTAAGGAATTGGTCTAGAAAACAGGAGATCCTGAGTTCTAATCCCACTTTAAGCACAAAGCCATCTGAGTGAAGGGTCAGTTACTCTCTCTCAATCCTAGGAAGAAAGCAGAGCGCTTCCAAAATCTTGCCAAGAAAATTTGCCCAGGCATTACCAGGAGTCAAGATTGACTCATAACTCTATCCCACCCCCATCCCAAATATAAACATTATCAAGGGAATAAAATATTTATACTTTTTGCCTGAGGCATGATTGTCCTTTAACAAAGGAATGCATTGTTAATCACTTTATATAATTGTGGCATAAAGCAATGGATATAGTTTGCAGCCATTTTTGTATAATAAACCTCAATTTATAGTATCTAGCTACATCTTGCTTTGAAAACAAGATACCCAATATCCATTGTTAGCCTAATGATAATATTGTGCAACTGTCACAAATCACCATAGAGACATGTTTTCTAGTTAAACAGAGAGTTGTGAATAATAGGCATCAACTCCTCCCAAATAAATTGAGTTTTAAAAGCATGGATTTGCTATTGTGGTTATAATGTGGCTTTGACAAGATTTTAAAAAGTTACAACTTTTTGTTCAATTGTTAAGTACCCATTTATTTTATGGTAGTCATAAAAAGCAGACAAACCCAGAACAATATTTTCTAAATACAATTACAGAATTTAGCTGATTTTTTTTAAAAAAAGGTAAAGAAATCCCTGTGTATTTTACTCTGCTAGTCTCTGCTCACTACAGAGTTAGTGCGCATCTCCATTTCCAGGCCTTTGAGCCAGTGCTGTCCAAAGATGTTTCTGCACTTATGTGGCCAGTATGACGTCATGGAGCACTGTTACCTTCCCACCACAGTGGTACCTATTTATCTACTCACATTTGAATGCTATTGAAGAACTAGATTGGCAGGACCTGGGATGAGGATGGGAGCTCACCCAATTGCATGGCGCTTGGGTCTCTAATCTGGGTTGCCAGCATTCCAGCCTACAAGCCCAGCATCTTAACTGCTGAGCATCCGTGGCACTCTTATTCAGTTGAATAAAGGGTACAAAAATTTCCATTTTAAAAATTATTTCTGAGTGTTTTAACTTACCATGCTTTATTGCTCATTATCAGTACTTAAAATTGTTCTATTCTTATGACCCAATTTCTGCATTTTTTTTTTAATCCTTCAACAGACTAGTTTGCTTTCAGATAGAATTCCAACACCTATAGCTGGGGTAGACACTGTTTCTTCAGTAAACCAAGAATCTCAGAGTTGGTAAGTGATTTTATTTCATATGTTGGTATGTAGTTAGCATTTAAAAATTGACATTGTTGCTGATAAAGTTAGTGTAACTTGTTACTATGGCTGCAGATATTGAAATATTGCATGTGATAGTACAAGGCTGAGTGTCACAGATACTTTCTCTGTTGCTTAGTTGTATTTGTATCTAGTACTTCTGGTTTATTCATATTCAGTTTGGGTTTATTTCTTATTTCTCTTGTTTAGTTATTTTGCTGGTACAGCTTCTATTAGTTTGATTTTCAGCTCTCCTCTCATCTTTTCACTTACAACTTTTGCTTTTTCTCACTTCCTTTTTCTTGATCTCCCAGTTAGAATTCATTTAGTCCCTTTCTTTTTTAATGTCTTTCTCATTGCTCTTAGTTCTTATTGCTTCTCCTTTTCACCTCATGCTGCCTGAAGACTCAGCTATGCAATGGATGCATTGAATTATTTAGGGAAGAACAAGGGCAAATTTGACTTGTCTTCTTTAAGAGTGATGCTGCGTTGCTTACATAATGATCAGCCCTTGTGCAGTGATGCTTCAGTGTTTTCCGGAATTCATGAATTTTATATGTGAATTCATAGGACCCTAGAAATTGCTATAAGCACTGCTGTTCATGTACAGTGGTTCTCTTTTCCGGTTCCAGTTCAGGGGGAGATGATGATGATGATGATGATGATGATGATGATGGTAATGATGATGATGAATGTTATATCCCAACTTGATGCACTTAAAAGTGGTCAGGAAGATGCCAGGGTTTGAGCCGTGTCCTTCTTTGTCTATTTCCATATTTCTACAAATCTGTATAACTTTCTCACAGTGACATTAGCAGCCAATCAAGATACTTACTATGTATGCGTAGACTGATGCTTCATTTTTCTTTTCATTCCATTCCATTTATGATAGATTTCCAAGGAAGTCCCAAAGGTGCTTTTTCAAGAGGCAACTGGACTTTCTTTGTTTTTCCTTGAAGACGTTTCGCTTCTCACCCAAGAAGCTTCAATTCAGGATTCAGTTCTGACTGAATGGTGAGGAATGGAAAAAATTACATTCCTTGTAGTTATCTGGTCATTACACTCTTTTGGAGAGTCTTGAGGCCACTCAGAGGTTTACCTGTGCCCTCAAGGTCACTTGAATAGTACAAATGGGTGTGGAACATTTTTTGAACTGCCGAAAGCACCATGTTTTTAATGCGTGTTCTACAACCATTTGCACTATTCAGGTGACCCTGAGGACACAACTCAAACCTCGAAAAAGCTTCTTGAATGAGAAGTGAAATGGCTTCAAAGAAAAACAAAGAGAAAAAGGTTCTTGAAAAAGAACCTTTGGGAAAACCATGACCTGGATGACTGAGAATCTCTATAGACATTTGCCAAGGCAGTGATCTGTATTCTACACTTAGGTTAAAGATGGATGATTCTTCCCATTGTAATTGTAACCACTACTTTTTCATTTTTTTTTTTATAATGTCAGCTTTGTAAGTATTGACAGCTTTGTAAGTAAGTATATAAAATGTGAGAATCATATTACTGCCAAACTATAGGCCAGAGGTTATATTGCTTTTTAGTATCTTACACGAAATATTGGTGCCAAGAAAAAAAAAATCATTATATAAAGGTACTTTAAAAAAAACATGCTTAGTTTTTAAATCCTACAAAAAGCACTTTTAACGCCTTGTTTAAAATAGGTTTGTTGCCCATATGCTTTCAGTATAAAAACATTTGCAGGGTGAATTTTGTCTATTGAAGGTCAAACCAATCCTCTTGTCTGGGTTTCCTGGGAAATCTATTTGCAGATCAATGTTTTTCTTTAGATCATAATAACTCATGTTTTTTCTGTATAGTTTGCAATAACAAAAGAAAAAAAATCATGAATCTTACCTGGCTGTGTTTACATTTAATAATGAGTCAGAGTTATGAGGTATGAGCTGTATGTTTATAATGGCTCTTCCTTATAACAAGCAAACAAGTCAGCTTTCTTCATCCATTGTTTACTTAGCATTTTACATGCGAATCAGGGACTGATTTATTATTCTCTCAATAATTCAGAATAATAAAACATTATTTTGTTCTGGCATACGCTTTTGCTCTGCTAGGAGAAAAAGAGACTAGACTTCTCTGTTAACACATATAATGAAAACAAATCACAAATGAAGCCATGAGAGCTTCATTTTTTAGGGGCCTGCTGATAGAAGGAACCCAGCAGTAGCAGCATAGAAACAGATAGAAAGAAAGATAATGAAAATGCAGTTCATGCTGAAAGTACATCTCTAGATTCTGGCTTATCAATGGGTACAAATCAAGGGTGAAATTCAAATTTTCCCCCTTCCAGCTCTGTGGGCGTGGCTTGGTGGGACTCAGTCTCTAAAAGGAAGAAGGCGGGTGGGCATGGGTGGGGCCAACCAATTCAAATCTTCCCTACCTCTCCAAGGTGCTGTGAAGTGGTTGAATTTCACCTCTGGTACAAATGCCAGCAATATGCAATAAGTAGTTTGGGGAGATATAACATGTGCTTGTATCCATGGTGGGGAGGATTATAATGGGCAGTGCTATACCATAAGAACATCACATGAATAAGCAGAGCCACTATTTTCTAGGGTTTCATTTGTTTGTTTTCCACTTCAAGTGTCTTAAGCTTATCCAATGGATCATGTCCCATCTTTTTGTTTTGTTTTGGTGATAATTGTCAGAAAATTAATCATAGGTAATTTATTTTATTTCATATATTCAGTTTATATGCTGCCCATCTCACTACTGTGTGACTCTGACGAACTTCCCACATCATTAAAAAAAAGAAAAATATGAAGATTAAAATGTTAAAAATATTAAAATTTAAGGGAAATTGGGTTAACTGGGAAGCAGTATACACATGGAATTGTGGATGGGATATTTTTCTTAACCCAAAAGCTAACTCCAGCATGGAATGCCCCCATTGGAGGCCCAAGTGGGTCAGCAGAGCCAGGCCCTTTTGGAAGGTCAAGAAGGTGGGATGGATCTCACCTCAAATGGCACAATGTTCTAGAAGGCTGCAGCCATGGTAGGAAAGGCTCCTGTCCTGGACTTCATCATCTGAAATTCCTGGACTGACAGGATCTGCAGCATGCCCCCTTTGCTGGAGTGAGTGGGGCAGGCCAGACTCATTGGGATGAGATAGTTTCTCAGGTAGCCTGGTCCCATGCCATAAAAGGGCTTTAAAGGTGCTAACCAACACCTTGAATTGAATCCGGAAGCAAACAGGCAACCAGTTCAGTCATGTAATGGTGATGCTACATGGGACCTCTTCAGGAAACCCTGAGCGTGCAGTTTTATTCTTTGCTAGCTCTAAGTTCCAAATACTCTTCAAGAGTAGACCCATGTAAAACATAGAGTATTTATGCCGAACTGAGATTCGGTCAGGGGAAAGTCCAGAAAGCATTGGGACTATGTGCAAAGTGCAGGTTGTTTTTAATTTGTAGTTTATTTTATAGTGCTTCATTATCTTGAGGATGAAATTTCTGTGCAGGTTTCAATCTAACTAGCTAGCCTCGTGATTTTGTAGCCCTGACTGAAAGTAGATTAACTGTGAATTTTATACTCCAGTTTACAATAGTAGTAAATAATATCATTTAAGAGGCTACCCCAAGAAGCTGAAAACATATTGCACAAGACAACATTGACAAACTATTTTCATATAGTTGCCTAGAAAGCTGTCTGGAATCAGTTGCATAATCAGCAGAGATCCAACTCAACTCTACGGAATGTTTATGAGTATTGCAAAATGTGGCTCTGGATTTACAGACCTTAGTTTGCTACTGGCTCAACAATATAATTCTCTGCAAACGTAGGAGTAAATTCTATAGATTATTTAGACTATTAATGTGATAAATTAAAATCTAGAAATTGGTACAGGTAGTTCTTGACTTACAACAGTTCATTTAGCGACAGTTCAAAGTTACAATGCCACTGAAAAAAGTGAGTTATGAACATTTTTCACACTTACAACTGTGGCAACATCCCTATGGTCACGCGATGAAAATCCAGATCCTTGGTAACTGGTTCATATTTATGTCAGTTGCAATATTTTGTGGTCATGTGATGACCTTTTTTGACTTTCTGACAAGCAAAGCCAATGGAGAAGCCAGATTCGCTTAACAATTTTGTTAGTAATGTAACAACTGTGTTGATTCACTTAACAACTGTGGCAAGAAAGATTGTTAGATTGAGCAAAACTCACTTAACAAATGTCTTGCTTAACAACAGAAATGTTGGGCTCTATTGTGGTCATAAGTTGAGGACTATCTGTACTATGAATGCCACCAGCATTTCTTCTTCATTGTTATTCTGAAACAATGAATTTAGCTGTGGGCCCATACCAGTCTCACTTAAATTATACCAAACTGAGAATTGACTTGGGTGATTCATGCTTTGTGCCCATTTTACATTCTAGGAACCTTCTTTTCTTGAATCAAATCATCATCCTTATCATCCTCATCATCCTCATAAAAACAAAGCTTCTGCTCTTGAATATAGGAATGAGACTGTTTTTAAAAGATCCTGCTTTCTTATTGTAGAGAGTACAATTCAGATGCCCCAAACATTTTTTTCAGTTAATCCTCAGTAATATCAATGTCTTTGAGAAAGGTCCTGCTCCTTGTGATTGAATTTGCACTTGCCAGGGACAAGGAAGTAGGTTTTCTCTGTGGAATAATATAACATCGCGTAGATGAGCTGTAGTACTTATGAGTTCTAGATGTCTTTTTTTCAAAATCATTATTAAATAGGCCTTCTTTCGCTAATGTTTACTTTTACTGTATTGGAATTTTTTAAAATTTTAATTCTAGGGTTTAGGATTTTGTAAAGCACTTTCAGATTCCTTTCAGTGAAGAGAGGTACAAAGTTGTTTTCATAACCATAAATAAAATGTCTGAGTTGAAGACATGGGGAGTTTTGTGGCCTGGGCATTGGAGAAAAATGTGCTTAGCAGAGTTAATAGCCAAGCCTATTAGAGAATGTTGGACCTTCAGGGGAGACAGCTGCAGTGTAGGTAGAGCAGACATGGATATGCAGATGATTTTGCACATGAATTAATTGCAGACAGATGGTGGATTGGGCAACAGAGGCAATGTGGAAGGGAAACATTTTCGTAACAAATATTATGTGTTAATAGAATAGCATATGTCTTTCATATTACAAAGACGTCCTTCGTATAAGAAAAACAAAACAAAGCTTTAAACAGTTTTTATAGGAGAAGGAAGTGTTTGGTTTATTTTGCTGTTTGATGTACTCACAGAACTGTATTTGATTTTTTTTTTTCACTCTCTCAGTATTGTATTAGAAGAAACGTTGTTGGATGACTTGTTAAATTTTGCTACCACCCCGAAAGGTCTTCTCCTTTTACAGAACACAGGAACAGTCACTGAATGTGTCACCTTCATGTTCAACAGGTTCATGAAGAACCTCCAGGTTGGCATTATCATTTATATATATATATATATAAATGTATGTATGTATATGGTAGTTGTTTGTTTGTTTCCGTTTCCATGGTGAACTTGAACACCTCATGGAACTAACAGAACACTGCTTAACCAACACATATTTCATATACAAAGGACAAATATACAAACAAATTGAAGGAGCCCCTATGGGATCACCACTGTCACCTGTCATTGCAAACCTGTTCATGGAAGAATTCGAATCCAGAGCCCTAGCCAATGCCATCCACAAACCCAAACTATAGTTAAGATACATCGATGACACATTCGTGATTTGGTCCCATGGAAAAGAAAACCTAAACAATTTCCTAACATACCTAAACAGCACACACCCCAAAATCAAGTTCACCATGGAAACAGAAACAAACAAACAACTACCATTCCTAGATGTACTAATCTACAAAAAAAAAACATATGGCACACTAGGACATATCGTATACCAGAAGAAAACACACACCAACCGCTACCTCAATGCCCAATCCCACCACCACCCAGCACAGATAAACTCCGTGGCTAAAACACTAATTGCTAGAACCAAACGCCTGGCAGACAAGACACACATAAAGACTGAATTATGCACCCTGACTAAAGTACTGACAGCCAAGGGCTTCCACAAAAGCAAAACCACTAGCTTGATCCACAAAAACACACTGAGACATAATGGAGACCTAGAAGATGAACAGACCTATGGAACAGCTGTCCTGCCCTACATAAGAAGTACTACAGACAAAAACAGTAAGATACTACACAGGCATCACATCAAGACTGCCTTCAAAATAGACAGAAAAATAGCAGCCATCCTTAGAAACCCCAAAGATAAAATTGACCTAGAAAACCAAGGCATATACGAAGTCCCCTGTGCATCATGCCCGGCCACATACATTGGACAGACCAATAGAAGAATAAGTACCCGCCTAGATTAACACAAAAATGCAGTCAACACACTTCCTCACTAGTCCAACACATGGAAGCCACAGGTCATAGC